CCACCCCGGCGGTCGATGGCCGCTTCATTCCGGCGTGGTCCTCCAGGAAAAAGGCGGCCGGGTATATTAAAAGGAATTGATATAGCGATCTATGGGCCGTGCGGATGCAGGGCCTTTGAAATCCAGGAGGCTGCCGTGGGCTTTCCCCCAGGCCTCAGCCTGCCCGGGTTCACCTTTCTCCTATCGACCGCTGCAGGTGACACTCAGGAAAACGTGAGGCACTAATGAATGCAGCAGCCAACCCCAGCCCCACCACTGCCTGCAACTGGCACTCGCAACTGCAGGGATCTCTCGAAGGCACGAGATGAATTCTGGCAGCAGCATGCACCACAGCGAAAAGCCCAGAGACTTTCCAAACTGCAGAGGGAGAAGTTCAGGAGTCTTCAAAGCACCTTGCGATGTTGCCTGCTCCCCAGGGCTCAGCCTGCCACTGCCCTGTCCGTCGTGCCCATGTAACCTCAGCGGTGTCAGAGCTGCCCCAGCCTGGAGGGCAGTCTCTGTCCCTCATGGGCTGTGAGCACCGGACTGGGTGTTGCGCCGCTATGCCCCAGGGAACACCCAGTCAATGTCCCAAGCCAGGCTCTTAGGTCAAAACCACCTGCTAATAGCGAGTACTTTGTTAGCATAGCTGGCAATGGGGGCTCGATGGCTTTGGGGAGCCTCCCAGTGCCCTTTGCTGAGAGCAAAACCCACTGCGCCCTGAAAAAGCTTTGTCCTTCTAGATGTGTTCCTACAGGGAGTTGTACAGGGCTGCCAGGCTGTAGAAGGGAGTTGTGGGGTGTCCCAGGGCCCCAGCAACCTCTGTGGCCCCCCAGATCTCCCTGGAGAAGATGTGCAAAGCACTCGGGCAGGCAGGAGGAGCCAGCTGAGGCTCCGTGTGCTCTGCCTTTTTTCCCAGGATCGATAGCTGGGCTGTGGAAAAGGGATCTTCAGAGGGGAAGAGCAGCGCTTTGTTCCACAAAGGAGACAAATAGAAATGGCTTCATTAGCAGAAGTGGCCGGGGGGCTGCCGAAGGGGCTGGGGGCTGCGCACACAGTGCTGATCTGTGTTTAGAGGGTACTGGCTCTACCGTGGCCAGTGCCCAGCATGATGGGCAACGCCCACGAATACACAAATGCCCATGCTAAAGGGTCACAGATCACCCACTTCCCCAGTGTGAGAAATTCAGGCAGTCCTGGGACTCAAGCACTGGGGGGCTTTGGGACTGGAGGACATCCATCTTTTAGAGTCCTATCCAGCCTGTGAGACTTGGAATGGGGCTGAAGCCACAGCACTGGCTGCCCACAGCCCAGAAGAGTGTGCAGCGAATCTGACCCCCCCACTCCTTGGGGCTGAGAGGATGCCTTCAAACCCATCCCCATCCCTGGAGCCTGCAGTGGCACACCGATGCCACGGCCGCCTGCCAGCACTAAGGCCCGATCCAGCGCTCCTCCTGCTAGGCTGGATCATCACCGCATCCTCTGTAGCCTCCCTCCCACTCAATTACAGGCCCTGCAGGATGCGGGAAGTGGGCATCGATCAGGGCCGGTTACTCAGGTGACAGCAGCTGTGTCCCCGAGCCCCCCAGGGAGCGTGGCAACACACATCACCCCCTGAGCTGCGTAAGGAGTGGGGATGCGGGCCTGCGTGTGTCTTCCTGGGTAGCAGGGTCCCTGGCGCTCGATGAGCTGCGGACAGCGCTGCCCAGCAGTGACAGGGGACATGAGACCCCAATTAAGGCTGCATCGATCCCACTCTGGCTCTGCTTGGCGTGCTGTGCTGTGGCCGCAGGAGTTCTGTGCCAGGGCTTAGCTGTCTCACACCCTGGCACACCTACCCCGGAACAAACACCCTGGGACTATCTTGCAGCCTGGGGCACACACAGACACACTCACAAACACACAGGCACAGAGGGAAACGCCACTGCGGCCCAGTGCACACAGACACACGCGCACGCGCACAGGAAGCCCTACTGCAGGCTGGTGCACACACACACTCTCTCACACACACTCACGCACACACACACGCAATCCCACGTTCGCAGACCCCCTCACCCCCATACCCACCGACAGGGCCCCCCTGCCCGCAGGGCAGCCCTAGGGTCCTCCGCAGGGGTCCCGTGGCCCTCCTCGCCGTGTCCCCAACATGTCTCCACCGTGTCATGTCCCCTCCTCC